CAACTCTTGAAAACCCGCCCAGTACAACTTCAGCTAATACTTCTGCCACTGTTGTTAATACAAACCCCAAATCTAATACTCCAACCAGTAGAATTATTGCAATATCACTGACAGCTACTTCTGGAACTAAATATAACTTGTTATTTTACAGTTTCTGCAAATACTAGGACATTTCTTATTTTCACTACTCTATTCCTTAATGTTCTGTTTTCATGTGTTTCCAGTGCATTATAACAGTTCATCCACCTGTGAGGCAAAGACAGACGGTAAGATCCTGAACACAGAAAGAATCAAACTTAAACTTTTGCGTGTGTCCAGTGGATTTTACAGAAATACAAACAACTCACAGATTACGAGCAGCAGATAATGACTAAGAACAGAGCTTTGATTAAAAAAATCTTAACTTAGACAAACTTTTATTGATCCACAAGGGAAATTGTTTGGACACACATTATATAGGACACATTTGGACACATTACAATATAATATAATAACAAAGAGCAAAAAATAGAAATGGTTAAAATATATCTAAATAAGTAGCAAATGAAGAAAGCAAGAGAGTGTGTCAGATGAGACATACTAATATAAATGTAAACGTACAAGTAAGAGTAAAATACAAAGATAAGTAATAAAATATAAAAATCACAGCTTTATACAAGAGGTCAGAGGAAGACAGTGCAACAATGATATATGATTGACAGGACACAGGGTAATCTGGTACATAAGGGTGAGTTGTTGTACAGTTGTATGTAAGTAGTCAAGTACTCAAGATTATTCAGATATGTGAAAACGTGAAACGTATTTCTTCAAAAGCAGAATTCTGTATGCTTTATAAAAACACTTGTTCTTATTTCTGGTTTTGGTTCATATCTGACACCACATTGTAACCTGTCGTTTACAGCCTCGACATGCAGCAGTGTGACTCTCTGTGATGTAAGGGCTGGTTGCTTAATGGGACACAGTGCTATTATTTCTCCCCCAAAAGACTCCAACTAACCTGGAACAGCAGCAAAGAGAAATGTCGGAGCTTCAGTGGAGACCTGATCAAGATCGAGAGCACAGAGGAACAGGTACAGGCTGCAGTCAACAGGGGGCGACAGTGGTGTCTAACCAGGAAGTTTGTAGTTTGGGGAAGTCCTGAAGAGTGAGACAAAAAGAAAATTTGACAGGCTGTGTCCGAATGTCCACCCTATTCCCTCCTTAGAGCACGATTTAGGGATCACATCATTTTTATTGGTGTCCAAATGTCCAGTGAGTGAAAAAGTAGTGCACTCAAAATTTCCCACAATGCACCTTGAAAAGTAGTGAACATCGGTTAATATAAAACACAAAACATTACGAGGGTCAGAAAAACACCAGCAGACAGAGACAGGTGTAAAGGTGCTAGCGTTGGCCTCAGAGCTCCAGCTGTTAAAAGAGCGATAATTTCTACATCACAGCAAATAATCCAGTCTGTTTATGTGAGATCTTGACAAAAACTTGTATGGTTATTATCAGTTCATAAATAATTGTGACAGTCTGATTTGATCATTTATGACAGAAATCAAGTTTTATTTTATTATTATTTATTATTATTTATTTTAAATTTTATTAACTTTTTTAACCATGCACCATCATTTACTTTTCACAGTCTGGTCTTGGAATGTGTAACTTAGTAAACTTAATGAACTGGACAAAACAGGAACCAGACCAGAATCAGATCAGACCTGAGACTCGACTCTGCACAATCTACAGTTTGTACATCTGATATTATATATTTGCATGTACATTATATTTGAAACATTTAGGCTTGTCTATGATCTCCAAATAATACAAAATTTTACCAAATAAAAAAGAGATGACAGAAGCCCCATAGCCTCTCTCCCCCGGCCGCCCCACTCCCCTGCATCACCACCACCTCCACAAACCCACCGCGGAGCGCACCACTAACAGCAGAGTGCGCACCGCAACATTGGTCCCACCGCTCAACAGACACCTCATGCTGCTCGACGCCAAAAGCACCAACTCCGCTACACAACATGCAAACAAACAAACGCCAGAGGTAACAGCGCCCGAGCACGGCCCAAAAGTCCCTGCGTAAGTGCGCCTCTAATACAGCAGGCGCTGGGACAGACAGTCACGCTAATAACTGGACGTACCTGAGCAAATCCTGCACCTCAGTTAAAAAAATATATACATATGTTGTGTGCTGTGTGTCCTGTGTGTTATATATGTATATTATTTATCCGATACCTGATTGGAACATAACGTCTGAATCCGGATCAAGTCATGTGATCGGCCCCGATTTCTGATCACATGATCGGATCTGGACAACTCTAATTGCTAATTAGCTGATCTGATTACTGGGCAATTAGAACTACAGTGAGTTATGTCACAAGCTATCAATATTTTTTTTGTCTGTTTAGTACATTTTTTATGGTTGTTTTTAGGAGTTTCTGGATGGTACAGTTCAACATCTGATGGCTGACAGGATCGACAGATTTTGGATTGGACTGACAGACTTTGAGACAGAAGGGAAATGGCTGTGGGCCGATGGCTCTCCACTGGACCAGAGGTGAGATGGGATTAGACAATAAGTTATAAATAAATATATAGATTATTAAAGATGCACTGTGTAACATTTCTAGTGGAGGGTCTGCCACCTGCTTGTAGGTAGCAAACCCTTCAGAAATGTTGCACAGTGCACCTTTAAATACAGATGATAATGTAACAACATCCTTTCATTCCCACAGTTTACAATTTTGGATGAAAAATGAGCATAACACTGAACCAGACAACTGGAAAGAAGAAGATGAAGATGGAGAAAACTGTGCGACTATGGGAGAGACCGATTACATAAATGGGATAAAGTCTTGGTACGATGTTTCCTGCAAAAAGAAGATGAGGTTTATCTGTAAGAAAAGAGCCACCAGATCAGCTGCATGTGGATAGAAACACAATACAAACGCTTTGTCGTGGTTTTAAGTTAAAGCACGAGGCCTTTGTGAGTGTTTAGCTATGAGTAGAAGAAAAGATTTTAGGTTTTTTGCTTCATGCAACTTACATTGAGACATTAAAGGTGCATTGTGTAACTTTTTCTGGTGGAGGGTCCATCAAAAGCTTTTCTCCATGAAGAGGTTATTGCTTTGTCTGAAATGTTTCACAGTATGTTATGAAACCTTTTTATCATCAAGGAGACCAAACCAGACCAAGTTCAAAATCTGTGGAGAGGCGACCCCGCTCACAGTCAGAATGCCTGTTTTTTAGGCATTTTTGAGCTTTAAAACCACCTGTAATTGAATAAATATAAGGTAGAGCTGTTTAATGTCAAACTGTGAAAGGCAGAGCAATGACATCGCCATAGAAACAAGCAGGTGATGGACCCTCCACCAGAAAAGTTACACAATGCTCCTTCAAAATACTGTAGCATATACAGCTATAATAGTTTAACAACTCTTTATACAAGGTATTTTATTTGAAGGTGTGTAAGTTCTTTTAGTGACACATATCTGTAAATTACATCATTATTCACCAAAGCAACTGTGGTTTATGAAAAATTATTGACCAAATTAAAGTGTCGTCATATGAATATGAAACATGTAATGAGTCATTAATGTATTAGCAGCATGAAACTATTATTTTAATAATTAACCTAAAATGAAAACAAATACTATTGAAAAGGTGCAGTGAATATGAGATAAAGATGTGATCTATTCTCAGAGATGAGATCAGGCTTTCCTACACTTATCTTAAGTTATGAAGATATAAATGGAAGTTTGGATGACTTATTAGATGCCAGCTCTGTGAGGTCCCCGACTCACTGAGGAGAGTGGAGATGGGCTCATGGTTTCGAGGTCTGATGTCCTCATCTGGTCCCAACAACAGAGTGTGGTTCTTCATGTTTTGACATGTTGCAGCTGGTGAAAGTCACATGCATCCACATGGGACTAGTGATTGTCTGAAAAGCAGATTCATCTATGAGAAAGAAGCAGGTTGTCAGCTGTGCTCTCTGTTTTGTTATAATTTTACCATGAATACATCAGTGAATCCTTCGCTCAGGAAGAGGAAGGTGATAAGACAATATATATTTGTACTGCTTTGGTTTGTAAATACAATACTTAGGTTTTCTTGTGGAGTCTCTCCTCTGTAAATGGAAACCAAATAAAAAAAATGTTGTTACTTTGCATAAATATTAAAATGATTTGGATATACATTATTGATTAACAAAGGGAGAATGAGAAAGCACACTCGGGGTGCCCCAGGACTCAATTCTGGGACCCTTCTGTTCTCTTCATGTGGCCAATTAATAAATGGAGTTAATATGATTAACTGAGGTTCAGGAAGTGGACGATGCCTCAACCTCCTCTCCAACCAACCACAGCTCATCTCAACCGACACCTTCAACTACCCACAAGCCCATTTTATACGGCCTATCCCAACAACGCCGTTTGCTCACAGAAATTATGACGTCAGTCTTGTCGGAGTTTAGCTGGAAACAAAACTGAAGTCATTGTCCCACAGAAACAAAGAGACAGTGTCTCTTTGTTAAAGAAACCTCCAGTTTCTCTCTTTAAAACTTTCAAATCAAGTTAAAAAAATCTAAAGGTTTAACTTTGTCAATAATTTGTCTATAAATTGGGCAATACAAATAAACTTGCTTTGCCTGTGTTTATGATCTGTTATGTAGATTTAAACACAATGATGTCAGAAGTGTTAATCGAGGCGTTCGGCATAAAGATGGGAGTAAAAAATACACAATGTATATTTGTCAAAAATGTCCAGGCCTGGTTTGTTAATACACAATGAGCTACTAATAATGTAAAAGTAAGAAATATATCTTATATGATCATTTTACGAAGTCAAAACACAGAAGTGGGCAAAGAACAACCATTTTAAAAGGGGGAAGTGAATTTATTTAAGTGGCAGAAGAAAGCCCAAGTGCACACACAAACACAAAACCACACAAGGACAAGTGAAATGGCTGAAGCAAATATGTACTCACATGTTGCTCTAATAAATACGGAAGACAATGGTAAGCATGTTTTTTTCTTACATCATAAATAAGAATTTGTTTTTAATCACTTTGGTAATTTCAGTTGTATGACTCAACATTTGTGGCTACAGTTTTTTGTCACTTTTATTATTTTATATATTAAAAAACTGTCGCCTGTCTCTCTGTATCTGCTGCTGTGAGCCTCGTTACTTTGCTCTTAAAATGTTCATATTAACCCACTCTACATGATCCTGGTGTTTTTATTTTGTAATTTTGTCTGTAAATAGATTCCTGTTCCTAATGTGGAACTTGGCTCCAGATTTGCTCCTGTTGAGCCTGATGAGCTTCGTTTGACTGGAGCTGAACACTATGGGCGACTTTAGTCCACTTTGTTATACAGTGTACTTTATTTTACATCTACACATTCTATGCAAAGACTAGCTTTTCTTTTTCTTTTTTTCAAACAGATTTTCAAGTGGAAGAAGCCTCACAGAGGAGGTCAAAGTTCACAGTCGGGAGAGTGGCTCTGGGGGTGCTCAGTCTGCTGCTTTTGGCTGCTGTTTCTGCTCTCATTGGAGTCATCGGTGCGTCAAACTACTGTGACTACACAATTACTACAAATACTATTGCTACTTTTAGATTACTACTTGTACTTCTACTAGCTAAAATAACTAATACCAATATAATTACTATTCTTACCTCAACTACTTGAAAACTCGCCCAGTACAACTTCAGCTAATACTTCTGCCACTGTTGTTAATACAAACCCCAAATCTAATACTCCAACCAGTAGAATTATTGCAATATCACTGACACAGCTACTTCTGGAACTAAATATAACTTGTTATTTTACAGTTTCTGCATACTAGGACATTTCTTATTTTCACTACTCTATTCCTAAATGCTCTGCTTTCATGTGTTTCCAGTGCATTATAACAGTTCATCCACCTGTGAGGCAAAGACAGACGGTAAGATCCTGAACACAGAAAGAATCAAACTTAAACTTTTGCGTGTGTGTCCAGTGGATTTTACAGAAATACAAACAACTCACAGATTTACGACTGCAGCAGATATGACTAAGAACAGAGCTTTGATTAAAAAAATCTTAACTTAGACAAACTTTATTGATCCACAAGGGAAATTGTTTGGACACACATTATATAGGACACATTTGGACACATTACAATATAATATAATAACAAAGAGCAAAAATAGAAATGGTTAAAATATATTCTAAATAAGTAGCAAATGAAGAAAGCAAGAGAGTGTGTCAGATGAGACATACTAATATAAATGTAAACGTACAAGTAAGAGTAAAATACAAAGATAAGTAATAAAATATAAAAATCACAGCTTTATACAAGAGGTCAGAGGAAGACAGTGCAACAATGATATGATGATTGACAGGACACAGGGTAATCTGGTACATAAGGGTGAGTTGTTGTACAGTTGTATGTAAGTAGTCAAGTACTCAAGATTATTCAGATAAATTGTAGCTTCGACTTTGTCAGTGGTGGTAACGGACGTGAAACGTATTTCTTCAAAAGCAGAATTCTGTCTGCTTTATAAAAACACTTGTTCTTCTTATTTCTATTTTTGGTTCACATCTGACACCACATTGTAACCTGTCGTTTACAGCCTCGACATGCAGCAGTGTGACTCTCTGTGATAAGGGCTGGTTGCTTAATGGGACACAGTGCTATTATTTCTCCCCCATAAGACTCCAACTAACCTGGAACAGCAGCAAAGAGAAATGTCGGAGCTTCAGTGGAGACCTGATCAAGATCGAGAGCACAGAGGAACAGGTACAGGCTGCAGTCAACAGGGGGCGACAGTGGTGTCTAATCAGGAAGTTGGTTGGTTGTTTGGGGAAGTCCTGAAGAGTGAGAAAAAAAGAAAATTCGACATAGGCTCGATTTGAATGTTAACCCTATTCCCTCCTTAGAGCACGATTTAGGGATCACATAATTTTGATTGGTGTCCAAATGTCCAGTGAGTGAAAAGTAGGGCATTTAAAATTTCCCACAATGCACCTTGAAAAGTAGTGAACATCGGTTAATATAAAACACAAAGCATTACGAGGGTCATAAAAACACCAGCAGACAGAGACAGGTGTAAAGGTGCTAGCGTTGGCCTCAGAGCTCCAGCTGTTAAAAGAGCGATAATTTCTACATCACAGCAAATAATCCAGTCTGTTTATATGAGATCTTGACAAAAACTTGTATGGTTATTATCAGTTCATAAATACTTGTGACAGTCTGATTTGATCATTATTTATGACAGAAATCAAGTTTTATCAGAGTAGGGTGGACATTCAGACACTTCCAGAGTGTGCTTCTCATTCTCTTTCCTCATTTCCTTCTCTTTGATTCCTGTCCTCGATTCTGCATTATCAGCACTTTCTAATGGATAATTTTTTTTCCCTTTAATTGAATGCAATTTAATACTTCTCTGGGCTTCTTTATTATTATTAATTGATTCTTTTCTTAATTTATAATACTTTTTTAATATCTCTATTGCTAATAGGGATGTCCTGATCACATTTTTTTGCCCCCGAGTCTGAGTCCTGATTTTGAACATCTGCTGATACCGAGTCCTGATCCGATACTTCTATAAAACATTATGAATGAACTAAGAGCATTAGAATAAGATCCAGGATGTGGGGGATCAGATTGTGTTGATTTCAGGTGTAGTATTTGGGCTGAACTTAGAGTGAAAAATCAAATATCCAAAACTTTAATTTTATTAACTTTTTTAACCATGCACCATCATTTACTTTTCACAGTCTGGTCTTGGAATGTGTAACTTAGTAAACTTAATGAACTGGACAAAACAGGAACCAGACCAGAATCAGATCAGACCTGAGACTCGACTCTGCACAATCTACAGTTTGTATATTTGATATTATATGTTTGCATGCATGTTACATTTGAAACATTTAGGCTCATCTATGAAATCCAAATAAAACAAAATCTTACCAAATAAAAACAAGATGACAGAAGCCCCACAGCCTCTCTCCCCCGCACTGCCCCCACTCCCCTGCACCGCCACCAGTGGTGCGTGCACCGCAAACAGAGAGCACACACCGCAACATCAGTCCAACTGTTCAATAGACACTTCATGCCGCTGGACGCACCTTCTCCGTCAACAGCGCTAGCTCCGCTGCGCAACATGCAAACAAACGGTGTTGTGTGATGACACTGACGGCAGTGCAGGTGTGAACACGGGCCACAGACCCCAGGTATCAGCGCCCGAGCACGGCACGGCCCAAAAGTCCCAGTGCAAGAGCGCCTCTAGTCCAGCAGGTGCTGGGACAGACAGTCGTGCTAACTGGATGTCCCTGAGCAAATCTCGCACCTCAGTTAAAAAAAACAACAAAAAAATGGTTGTATGCTGTGTGTCCTGTGTGTTATACACATATATTATTTATCCAAAACCTGATCGGACCATAATGTCCGAGTCCAGATCGAGTCCGCAGTCATGTGATCGGCCCCGATTTCCGATCACTTGATCGGATCAGGACAAGCCTAATTGCTAATTACCTGATCTGATTAATGGGCAATTAGAACTACAGTGAGTTATTTCTTAAGATATCAATATTTTTTGTCTATTAAGTACTTTTTTATGGTTGTTTGTAGGAGTTTGTGGATGGTACAGTTCAACATATGATGGTTAAATGGGCTGACAGATTTTGGATTGGACTGACAGACTCTGAGACAGAAGGGACATGGCTGTGGGCCGATGGCTCTCCACTGGACCAGAGGTGAGATGGGATTAGACAATAAGTTATAAATAAATATATGGATTATTAAAGATGCACTGTGTAACATTTCTAGTGGAGTGTCTGCCACCTGCTTGTAGGTAACACAGCCTCCAGAAAAGTTGTGCAGTGCACCTTTAAATATAGATTATTATATCATATCCTTTCATTCCCACAGTTTACAATTTTGGACAAAAAATGAGCATAACACTGAACCAGACAACTGGAAAGAAGAAGATGAAGATGGAGAAAACTGTGCGACTATGGGAGAGATCCATTACATAAATGGGATAAAGTCTTGGTACGATGTTTCCTGCAAAATGAATATGAGGTTTATCTGTAAGAAAAGAGCCACCAGATCAGCTGCATGTGGATAGAAACACTTTACAAACGCTTTGTCGTGGTTCTAAGTTAAAGCATGAGGCCTTTGTGAGTGTTTAGCTTTGACTAGAAAAAAAGTTTAGTTTTTTTTTTTGTTTTGTTTTTTTGCTTCATCTTGCAACTTACATTGGGACATTAAAGGTGCACTGAGTAACTTTTTTCTGGTGGAGGGTCCATCAAAAGCTTTTTTCCATGGAGACGTCATTGCTTTGTCTGAAATGTTTCACAGTATGTTATGAAACCTTTTTATCATCAAGGAGACCAAACCAGACCAAGTTCAAGATCTGTGAAGAGGCGACCTCGCTCACTGTCAAATATCTCCATAGAAACAAGCAGGTGATGCACCCTCCACCAGAAAAGTTACACAATGCTCCTTCAAAATACTGTAGCATATACAGCTATAATAGTTTAACAACTCTTTATACAAGGTATTTTATTTGAAGGTGTGTAAGTTCTTTTAGTGACACATATCTGTAAATTACATCATTATTCACCAAAGCAAACTGTGGTTTATGAAAAATTATTGACCAAATTAAAGTGTTGTGATAGAAATTTAGATTGTGGAAAGATTTCTCTCACTCTGTCTTTGTGTAAATGAATGTGATTTCTACCTGAGAGCAGACCCCCACAGGAAAATATTGATTATGATTGATTACATTAAAATAGTGATTACTTTATCTTTAAGAAACACATTTGGTCGTGTAACTAAAACTCATTTGGCTTGTTAGAAAGTCCCTTCAATGTAAATACTTCTGTTTCCTTTTGCTTGCTAATTATGTCAGGAAGTGACAAATGCAAGTGAATATGGAGCAAATCAGATCAAGCACATCTGGCCACACCTCAGTAGGAGTTGTCACCTTCTCACTTTGACATGTATGTAACTTGTTTTTCTGTATAAATACTGGGTGCTCAAATGCTCTTTAGCTTTTGCTAAACTAATTGTTTAAGCTGTTTGGAAAAGTATGTTGCCTTTAGCTGGAAGCTAATTAACATGCAAGACAGTGTGGCTATGCACTGCCAAATGAAGTTATCATAATTAACATTCATACATTTTGAAACACTGTTGAGCAATAAAATGTTTTTACTGAGGCAGTCCATCCATAAGCAAAGTTACTGGAGTTGTTGAAGACTAAGGTTATGAAGGCTTCATCCTGAGATTTGCATCACAACAAACAGAACTCACAAAAATGAAGACAATATTCTGAGCAATACTCGAGCATTAACTATTGACTGATTATTGAATTGAACTCTTCCTTATGTTCAGAGTTTAGCTGCAGATTCACATTCAAAACAAAACCTCAGTAAATAGGATAGTCACGGTTATTTGTCAATGAAAGTTAAACTACCTCCCCCCTGTGGTTGAAGAAACATTGTTTAGTTTAACAAAGTAGAGCTCTGTCCACGGACATGACTTTAAATTGATTTCTAAGTTTATGTTTCATGTTTATTTCCAATAGTAAGTCAGTTCAAGTCCTGGACTATAATTGGTGTCTTTAAGGTTTTGGAAGCAGTTGCGTTAACTTGCCTTGTTGAAAATGACTATACCACCCACCACAAATTACACAATGCACCTTTATTTGAGGAAGTGAACAAAATGTGGAAAAAACATCGACTTTGTTCATTTTTGACAGACATTCGACTGTGGCTATCATGGAAGAAGACAGCACATACGTTAATGCTGGACCTATGTGGATCACAGGTGAGCATGCATTTGTCACAAACAGTCAGGGGTGGAAAGTTTCCAAAAAAACTCATGCTGAAACTGTGGGTATTTGGGGTAATTGTGTTTTAACGTTGTTTTTTTGTTTTGTTTTTTTACACGTGCTTGTAATTATAACTGAGCATCACATTTAAAATCATTTTAGTCACAGAGTACAGCCCTCATCTCTGTCTCTGCCATTTCAAACACACATAACTGCATCAGCTGCTCTGATTGGACAAAGCCCCAAGACAAGTTAATCTTTAAACGGTTTAATAATCAAGTTTAGTATAAAGACACTTATCTAATATGTTAATAGAATGTGTAAAAAAAAAAAAACTGTAGCAACTTGCACTTTGAGTAGTATTGTTTCATGTCCACTTTATACTTTTACTTTTAAATGCATATGTACAACCACAGTTTGGGTAGAACAAGAGAGAGGTACTTTTCTGACATTATTGGAAATTGCAACAACAACTCTCGTGTCCTGTTTGCAACAGTGAACAGATTAACAAACCCTCCAGCTCCACTGCCGCTAGAACTAATTTCCACATCTAAGTGTAATGTGTTTGCAGGATTCTCTAAAGACAAAGTTCAGGGCATCAAAATTGCATCAATTCCACAAATAACAAGCAGGAAGCCACAGAGACACTTAGAGTTGAGGCACTTTGCACTTGTAACTGACAAAACTGTTTTAGAGATCGTCACCAGTCTGAGTTCATCTACATGCTGCTTTGGCATGTTACCCACTAGATTTCTAAAGTCCATCCTTAACAGTTTTCTTTCACCACTCGCTCACATATTTAACATGTCACTTCAATCTGAAACATTCCCAAGAGCAGTAAAAACTGTGATCATTAAGCCTCTCCTAAAGAAGAGCAGTCATGATGTCACAGTACTGAACAATTTCCAAATCTGTTGTTTTTTTGTTTTTTTTTTGCAAAGTCCTTGAAAAAGCTGTTTACCAACTGCTTACTAACCTTGTCCAAATGAACAACTCCTTTGATATTTTCCAGTCAAGTTTTAGAGCCCACCACAGCACTGAGACTGCTCTTATCAAGGTGACAAATGACATTCGCCTGAACAATGATGCAGGCAAAGTCTCAGTCCTGATCCTGTTAGATCTGAGTGCTGCTTTTGACACTGTCGATCATGGGATCCTCTTACAGAGACTAGAGGACTGGGTGGGCATCTCTGGTACTGTACTAAACTGGTTGAAGTCCTATCTAGAAGACAGGAAGTATTTTGTTGCAATTGGAAGCTGTCAGATCACATGGCCCTGACCTGTGGGATGCCCCAGGGGTCGATCCTGGGCCCCCTTTTGTTCAATCTCTACATGCTGCCATTAGGCCCGTTAATATGCAGGAATAATGTGTCCTACCACAATTATGCAGATGACACTCAGATCTATGTCTCACTGCACCAGGAGACTCTGGACCAGCGGACTCATTTGCCACTGCGTCCCACAGATCAGTAGATGCAAAAAACTTTCTCGACCTAAATTCAGACAAGACTGAAGTCATAGTGTTTGGTCCGCAGAAACAAAGAGACAGTGTCAGCAGTCACCTCCAGTCTCTCTCTATAAAACCTTCAAATCAGGCGAGAAACCTAGGGGTAATAATGGATTCAGACTTGAACTTTAACAGCCACATCAAATCAATAACATCTGCAGCCTTTTACCATCTAAAAAACAAAAAAAATCAAAGGTTTACTGTCTGAAGCAGACTTGGAGAGACTTAGCCATGCGTTTGTCTCCAGTAGGTTAGACTCTCCGAAACGATCTATGAGATGCTGCAGAACATCCAGAACGCTGCAGCTCGGGTCCTGACTCAAACTAGGAAGTACGAGTGCATAAGTCCTGTGGCTCAGGTCTCTGCACTGGCTCCTGTGGCTCAGAGACTTTAAAGCAGCCCTGCTTGTGTACAAATCTCTCCATGGCCGAGCACCAAAGTACATCTGTGACATGTTAGTGCCACATGAACCATCAGAGTCAGGACTAAACAAGGGGAGTCAGAGTTTCAGATGCATGCAGCTAAAACCTGGAACAGTCTTCCTGAACATGTGAGACAGGACTACACTTTGACTCTGTTTAAATCCAGGCTCAAAACAGTTCTGTTTAGCTGCACATGACAGACAGATTTTCATTCTGCACTCTTCTCTCTAATTTATGTAATTAATGTCTCTCTCTCTTTTTAATTTTATGATATTATTTATGTTTTTATTTGTTTTTATTATGATTTTAATGTATTTCTTATTCTGTAAAGCACTTTGAATTACTTTGTGTATGAATTGTGCTGTACAAATAAACTTGCCTTGCCTAAATTTGGCAGCAGTATTTGTAATAAAGTACATTTTTAGACATGTAACTTGTAAACATGTAACTTTTACATGAGTAAGAGTTTTCAGTACTGTAAACATATTGTATATTACATTACATACATGTAAATAATATTTAAAGTTTAGCTGAGTCCATTGAAAAGTCCAGAATGAAATCTCATTTGAGGTGTGTGTGTTATTTTCCTCTGGACACTTTGTTAGATCACCATGTTTTCCCATGATCCTCAGATCGCCCTCGGAGGAGGTTAAAGGTCACAGTGGAGAGGGTGGCTCTCGTGGTGCTCGGTGTGCTGCTTTTGGCTGTTGTTGCTGCTCTCATTGGAGTCAGTGTTAAACGCTCACATAAGACCAGAGCAACAGGGAAAACCACTCCTGTACCAGGTAATACTGCATTTCAACATAACAAATCTGAAGAAACTCATACACTAATGATGATTTGTTGCAACATCGGACAATAATAATTGTATATTGCAGTAAGTTTATAGGACCATTGACATAAAGAATTGTATAAAGTTGAGTGCATAGTTAGAGTTGCTCTTTATGAGTGTTTGGCTTTGATTAGAGTTTTGGGGCACCACTTAACAAAAGTTTAGAAACATTATCCAGTATAATCAATTATCTTATCATGAATAATTAATTAAACAATGCTCTGAAGGTTCATAATTTATTTTATACATTTCATCAACCATTTCTGCCAATTGGAAATTATTTTTCAACAAAGCAAAATGTGGTTTATAAATATTTACTGACAAAGTTAAACAGACAGCATTTAAATACGAAATATGCAAATGAGCGTGGTCTTCTCTTGACAATAAAATACTACAATAATATATCATAGCTGTGACATTTTCTTCTTTTTAATGTTGCTTGAGTGTAATACAGGTTGTTTTACTGTTGCAGTAACTGTGAACCTGTTCTGTACAGTAAAAACATGTCCAAACCAAACATACCCCTGTGACGACGGCTGGAACTTCAATGGAACCAAGTGTTATTACATCTCCACAAACAGGACTAAAGTGTCCTGGCCTGGAGCCAGAGACATTTGTCAGAACATGGGTGGACTCCTGGTGACGATCGAGAGCAGAGAGGAGCAGGTACATCTCAGATCTGGTTATGTGTACTTGTATAAACGGGGGGGGGGGAGGCTAAAGAGATCAACAGCCTATATCAAGGTGTGGAGAACTATAAGGCAGCTTCTTTTCTCCTGGCAAAATGGGCTTTCAGGGGGATGCAGCACTCTTAAAATCGATATTATTGAAAAAATATTGGGGCGTGATCACAGAACCATCAAATGTTTTATTGCAAATTGTTAACAACAGTGTCGCAAGAAACGTGTTGAGAAAAAAAATTAACTGCAAGAAATTTGAGAAGAATCAAACATGAAACTACCAGGAGCCCATTATCCTCCTGTGATATTTCAGAACTGCAGACAAACTGGAGAGCCCAGAAGTACAAGGAGTTCAGTGCTCAGAGACATGGCCAAGGTGAGGACGGCTGAAACCCGACTGAACCCCATTGAACAAGAAATATACGCTGAAACGTCAAGACATGATTAAGAAATATCTGAAGACAGGTTTTATGGATTGACGAGATGATTGACTCTTGACAGACTCTTGAATGGGCCCGTGGCTGGATCAGTAATGGGCACAGAGCTCCATTTCGACTCAGACGCCAGCAAAGTGGAGGTGGGCTACTGGTATGGGATGGTATTATTAAAGATGAACTTGTTTCGGGTTGAAGATGGACTCAAAATGAACTCCAAATCCTACTGCCAGTTTTTAGAAGACACTTTCTTCAAGCAGTGGTACAGGAAAAAGTTAGCATCTTTCAAGAGGAACATGATTTTTATGCAGGACAATGCTCCATCACTGCATCAAAGTACTCCACTGTGTGTGCCTTAAAGACTAAAAAATAATGCCATAGCCTCTTTCTCACTTGACTTAAACCCTACTGAGAACCTGTGGGCCCTTCTTAAACAGTGAAGAAAAACAGTGCACGTCTCTGAACAGTGTCTGGAAGGCTGTTGACGCTGCTGTACAAAAAGTTGGTTGTCAACAGATCTAGAAACTGACAGGAAAAAGCTTTTACAAAATATCAAGAAAATATCGTATCATCATAACCTGACTGATGGTTTGAAATCAGACCCTCATTAAAATATTTTCTGTGCAACTTCAGGTGTTCCTGTACCACAGACTGGCATTGGTTCATAAGGACTGGTTTTGGATTGGACTGACTGATTCTCAAACTGAGGGAATCTGGATGTGGGCTGATGGCTCTCCACTGAACCAAAAGTGAGAAATTACTTATTACTATTATTAAACACTTGTTTCTTTGGATATGTCATTGCTTTGCCTAGAATGTTCCACAGTATCACATTAAATAACTCTACCTTACATTTATCCAATTACAGGTGATATAGTTGAAAAATACTTGCAAAAAAACAGGCATTCTGACTGTGAGGGGGGGTCGCCTCTACACAGATTTGACCTATAACTGATCAAACCCTGGTTTGGTCTTCATGAAGATAGAAATGTTTAATACTAGGGGTGTAATGGTACACAAAAATCACGGTTCGTATGTACCTCGGTTTTGAGGTCACAGTTCGGTTCATTTTCGGTACATTTGGGAACAAAATGCAAAAACCATTTGCTTGTTGTTTATTGGTGTGTTTATTAAACCAACAATTTGTTGTAAGATTATACAAATGTGAAAATAAAATAAATGCAAAGTGCTTGGTAATACTAATAATTTAAATAAAATATTCTCAAATAAGCAACAAATGTATGAAATATAATAAAAAATTAAATTCCTTGTAAACAGTAAACAAAAATTTTCAAAAAGTAAAGCGCAGTACTACATGTTTTATGCAATCTTCATATTTTTGGCCAGAAAAATCTGCAGAGAAACACTGCAGTAAGTGCAGATCTGCTGGCAAGCGAGAGTGAGGACTGGGGCGCGACGACCATAGTTTATTCACGTGGTTCAGAGGGACGTAGTTAAGGCGGTTGCCCTAACTATACAGCGCTGTGGGAAACACTGACGCCCCAGTCACGGATGAGTTTCCTCGTGAATATCGAAGAGCTGAACCTTGGTGTAGCTGCTCATGTAGTGGCAGAATGTAAACACACACAAATTGCACGAACTCACCTGAGCACAACTCTGCACCGAACTGAACATCCCGTACCACAACAGTTCGGCACAAATACATGTACCGTTACACCCCTATTTAATACCATACTGTGAAACATCAAAGGAATTACATCTTCATGGAGAAAAGCATTTAAAAAGTTACACAATGTGCCTTTAAGTGTCTAGTGTTATGAGTTAGTAATTCCATGTCATTTTTAAACTTTTCCTCTTTAGATTAAAGTTTTGGGCTCCCGGGCAACCAGACAATTGGATAGGAGATTTTAATGAGTATCCTGAAGCTGAAGACTGTGTGATGATGGGCGACCCAAAGGAATGTGAAGGAGTGGACATCTGCTGGACTGATGCTTACTGTGGTTCAAAGGAAAGGTTTGTGTGTGAGAAGGAGCCAAACTGCAAATTAATGACACCTTAGATTTACCACAAGGAAATGGAAATGTCACTGCTCTGCTCGGAATGTTCTACAGTGTGACGTTAGACAGATCTACTTTATATTTATTCAGTTACAAGTGGTTTTATATCTCAAAAATACCAACAAAACAAGCATTCTGACCATAACATACTTGGAGTTGTGTTTCGTTTCACAACTCCGGGTATGTTTGCAATGAGGAAACAACATGTCAACATAGATCAGAGGATAACGTAATGGGGGCCTTTTAAAGAGCAATAAAAAAGTACAACCTGGGGACGTGTGGTAATTTGTAAATTACCGCCCCACGTCTGTGTTACTTGCAGCTTATTTGCACGGGATAAGCGAAGTCCATGAATTACTCTGTTTTACTGATATATATACTGATACATCAGCTATAAAAATAGGAAGGGCAGTTAGTATAAAGGCGACTGGACCAGGACTAGACCAGTACTAGACCAGGACTGCACCAGGTCTAAACCAGGACTGGATCAGGACTGCACCAGGACTGGTACAGGACTGGATCGGGACTAATCCACGACTGTTATAGAACTGAATCGAGACTAAACCAGGACTTAACCAGGACTAAACCAGTGTCGATCTAGCGGCCGAGTTGTGCGGACCGCTCCCTCGCCCGGTTCTCAGTAGCGATCTAGCGGGCACTAGATGGCCCCCGCCCCCCAATATGGAGGATATAGTCTGGCTAGTTATTAGTTAGTTATATTATTTAAAATGTTCCTTGCCGCTTGCTGCCACACGTCATCCAGGCCATCATCCTGCGAGAATTGGCTCTCTTCTTGGACCTCTTCCCATTTCTGCAGATATGGGGCTGTATTAGAATTTGCCCCTAAAAAGCTCAAAAGTGTTAATCAAAATTTCTACCGCAGCCTCCATATTCAAGCCGGAAAGAGATAGAAAGGGCACGCAGCTACCACAACAAACACTGAGATGCAGATTCGCACGGAGACTGTGTTTAGCAAAATATAGTAGGTCATTTGCGGCGTAATTTTTACTTTACAAATTACAGACATGGCGCATTCACACGGGATTAAGATCTCAGGAATAGATCTCCGCAATTATTACAATTCACCAAAGGTCCACAGGTTATACTAATCCTGTGGGAATAGATCTTAAGTCAACGTACAGTATGTTTCGTTTGATATGTTTTATGTTTCTGTGAATTTCTGTTAAATTGCTGATTCATTTCTCAGCTAAATCTCACTACACTGATGTTTAAATTGTGAATGTCAAAATAAACCAAGCCCAACAATGTATTTATTAAAGGCACTGTACCTGAAACAGACCTGGTTACTTTTTGCATTGGTCCAAAGTAATTTTATGTGTTCTTTTTGTCCTAATTATTCACCATGATGAGTTTATAAGTGCCTTTCACAACTATTCACGATTATTTATGTTGATATGTAATTATTATACATGATACGGGATAGTGGTTAAAGGTTAGGGGTTGGGGTTTAGGGTTAAATTGCCCACGTTTGGCCCGTCCCTCTCCCCCTCCGCTGCCGAAACTCTCATCCGTGCCTTCATCACCTCCAGACTCGATTATTGCAACAGACTTTTTTCACAACGGACAAAAGTGCCCCGCTGTAAATTTGCAGAACTTCTGGTTAATGGTTTTCTGTGGTAAAATGTCTGTGGAAATGTGTGACGTATTTTCCACCAGCTTCATAAATATGCCCCATCACCAAATCTTCAACCAACGACAAAGGATAAACCATGAAGAATTTATCCACAACTATCAAGGGAAGAAAGACAAAAACTTAAAGGTGAACAACGATGAAGCATTAGTGAACTACTGAGCAAAACTAATATTATTGTCATGAATAAAACATAAGTAACTTGTTTACTCAGACTGATTCTACAACAAAAATATAAATCGATTTCATGATGTCGATATTAGCACAGATAGATTTGTGCAGTTTGAATGCAAGACATCTCAAAGTTACCATAACATTGCTCAGTAGTTCAGTAAAGCTAGTCGTTGTTTGCTTTAAAGGGACAGTCTGGAATTTTGGACATAGGATCACATTTCCTAGTGAGCCAAAGTGTTGGAGATGTGTGGAAACACTTTTTAAATATTCCATCCAGTCCTTGTATTTGCAGAGGTCGCTGATGCTAGACTAGTGCATGTCAATGGTCATAGTTATCCTGCCACTAAAAACAGTCTTACCCACTCCACAAAACACCCGAAGCAAATCTATTATTACACCAGACTGTCGATGCAAATGTCTGTGTTGATAGAATAATTTTAGAAGTAAAACCAGTCTTGCATTTGAAGGATTTATGTCTGAGCAGCAGCAGTGAGATGTACTTCCTGATAGAAAGCTCGGCAGCGGCGGACTGATATATGAGAAAATAGTCCCTCAACTTGCGACGATTCATACGATGCGAGGTTAGTTTTATTTCAAACATTATTATATCAACAGAGACATTTACATCGACAGTCTGGTGTAATAATAGATTTGTTTCGGCTGTTTTGTGGAGTGGGTAAGACTGTTTTTAGTGGCAGGATAATTATGACCATTGACATGCACTAGTCTAGCACCAGTGACCTCTGCAAATACAAGGACTGGACGGAATATTTTAAAAAGTGTTTCCACACGTCTCCAACACTCTGGCTCACGAGGAAATGAGGTCCTATGTCCAAAATTCCAGACTGTCCCTTTAAAGCTTTCATCTTTTTTATCTTGATAGTTGTGGATAAATTCTTTGTTTATCCTTTGTGGACCTTGTCGGTTGAAGATTTGGTAATGGGGCAGATTTATGAAGCTGGTGGAGAATATGCTAGACATTTCCACAGATATTTTGCCACAGAAAACCATTAACCGGAAGTTCCGCAAATCTACAGCGGGGCACCTCCGGTCGTTGTTCAAAACTCTGCCACTCATATCACCTCCTTTCTGCAACGACTCCACAGGCTCCTCATCCAACAGCGCATCAATTTCAAGATCCTCCTGATCACCTACAGAGCTCTTCATTACCGTATTTTCTGGGCTATTAGGCACTCTGGATTATAAGGTGCACTGTCATTAAATAGTCTATTTTCTAACTTTTTTCACAAATAAACCGCACCAGACTTAAAACAAAACACAATAGTTCCATGTGTCAGTGGGACTTTGTTTGGAGGTTGGGAGTTTGCTGTCTGGGACCGCTGGATTGTCGGCGTGTTCGCAGTGACTCAGTTGTTCAGTTGTGTCTAGAAGTGGCACATTGCACTCATTTTTTCAGTTCGTTCCACCGTTCCGTTCCTCGTCGGCGTAGAGTGATGAGTGTGGCTGCGGGTGTTTGTCGCTGTGCGGTCACTGTCTGCTCCGTGTGTGTTTGCGTGCGCTGCGGGTGGTGCGGCTTTGTAGTTTACCAAAATTGTACTGGGACACCCGAGTGGATTCGTGTATAGGGCGACCTCTGCCCGCTCTGACCGCCTCACTCACACAGTCAACCCAAAGTGCCCGACCTTTGGAGATCGAGCTTTTGCCACGGCCGCCCTCTGGAACTCTCTCCCCCTTCACATTAGAAACTCGACTAGCCAGGCTGGTGCCGCCTAGTGCCTCCGCTCAATTTCATTTCTGTCCAGCAACTATGTCAGAAATCAGAATACACTAGATCACAGGTGTCAAACATAAGGCCCGGGGGCCAGATCTGGCTCTCCAAGACCTTTAATCTGGCCCTCGGCTGATTTTCTATTAAAATATTTAAATTATATTTTCTATTAAAATCTTGTTAATTTTCTGTGGTGTTTATCACAGCAGCGTCTCCAGTGTCTCTGTACGTGGCCCCTCCCACCAGAGCAGCACAAATGAAGACTTGTCTCTTTCCAAACGCTCTTAAAGGACGATCGTTTTGACTGTTGACCGTGACACCCTCATCAGAAAAATATCCAACATGAGAAAAGTGGACGTCGAGTGCAGGATTTTCCAAGAAAAATTGACTTATTCCTATTTACGTACAAGTTCATGTTAAAACATCGTGTTGAAATTGTATTTTTCTTAAAGTTTAGGTTGTTCATAATATTATAATATTTTGTAAAAGAAAGAGTTCATCAATTAAAAAAGATTTCTGTAATAGATTTATGTTTCTCTGCACAAATATTTGAACTTATTGTTATTTTTGGGGTTTATATGACATGAGTTTTCTGATCCGGCCCCTTTGGGATCAAAGTCGGTTGGATACAGCCCCCAGACCAAAATGAGTTTGACACACCTGCACTAGATGGTTTGCAAGAACCCCGGAAATGGGCACTAGCCAATCAGCGAAGAGCCATACATTCTGTGTTGGCAATGATTCACGAGATCAAGGATTTAAAGCTGGAACAAAGAGAATGTTTGGTGAATTTTGTCAAGGGGAAAGACGTTATTGCCCTTCTTCCTACGGGATTTGGGAAAAGAGTAATATACCAGTTAGCAGCGCAACATACGTCAACACCAAATAGCAGCTACTGTCGAGTGAACGAATCCTAATCCTAATTTCCACGAAGTGAAACCGACTCCTCATTACTGTCTGTCCTGTCCTTGTTTTAGTTTTACTTTATTGTGAAGCGTCTTTGTTTTATCATGAAAAGCGCTGTGTAAAACTAATGTACTCTTATATTATTATTAAATTCACAAATGAATTCTGACTAAATTTTTTCTATATGCTTTTTTTATATTGACCTTTTTGATGACAGCTCATGGGAAGTTCAATTGTGTTAAAAAAAAATTATTTGATCAAAAATTGAGGAAGTGACAGCTCTTTACAGTGTAGGAACAAAAACTTTCATACAGTATTTGACACACATTTGACCAAGACGGATAAAATGGCAACAGAAGAAAATGTCGAATATGTTAATATGTCGAAAAACCGATGTGAGTATGTATGTTTTTATGAACAATTTGATAATGTTCTTTTTGTTTGAGATTGTATTTAATGCTTTTAGTTGTGTTTTTAGAGTTACTTAAATTTTAGAATACCCACTTCACTCAGTTGTAGTTAAAGGTGCACTGCGCAACATTTCTGGAGGGGGGGTCTGCTGCCTACTTGTCTCCATGGAGATGTTCTTGGTTTGTCTGGAATGTTCCATGGCATGACATTAAACATTTCCATCTAGTATTTATTCATTATGGGTGTTTCTATTGTTCAAAAATACAATAATTGAATAGGGGCGACTCTCCACAGATCTGACCTGTAAAGTAGTCTCCCTTGACATAGACAGGTTTAGTCTGTAACGTGGAACATTCTAGACAAAGCAATAACATCTCAAAGAAGACAATGAACAAGACAATCATGAAACCTCCACGAGAAAAGTTGCGCAGTGCACCTTTAAAGACAAGTTAGAACACCCTTATTACTCAATTAAAGGTGTACTGCGCAGCTTTTCTGGTGTAGGATCTGCTGCCTACTTGACTCCATGGAGATGTTCTTGATTTGTCTGGAATGTTCCATGGTATGACATTAAACATATCTATTTAGCTTTTATTCATTATGTGTGTTTCTATTGTTCAAAAATACATTTAATTCCTTCTGTGAACAGGTGTGACTCTCCACAGATCTGATCTGTAAAGTAGTCTCCCTTGACATAGACAGGTTTAGTCTGTAACGTGGAACATTCTAGACAAAGCAATAACATCTCAAAGAAGCAGGTGCTGGAACCTCAACGAGAAAAGTTGCGCAATGTATTTTTAAAGACAAGTTAGAACACCCTTATTACTCAATTAAAGGTGCACTGCGCAGCTTTTCTGGAGGAGAGTCTGCAGCCTACTTGTCTCCATGGAGATGTTCTTGCTTTGTCTAGAATGTTCCATGGTACAGACTAAACCTGTCTATGCCAAGGGAGACTACTTTACAGGTCAGATCTTTGGAGAATCACCCCATTCACAGAAGGAATTATTGTATTTTTAAGCAATAGAAACACATGTAATGAATAAATGGATATGTTTAATGCCATACCATGGAACATTCCAGGCAAAACAAGAACATCTCCATGGAGACAAGTAGGCAGTGACCCTACACCAGAAATGTTGCGCAGTGCATCTTTAAATACAACTAATGTTCCATGGTATGAAATTAAACATCCAGCATTTATTCTTTTTAGGTGTTTCTATTGCTCAAATGTAAAGTAAATAAGGTGCGACTCTCCACAGATCTGACCTGTAATATAGCGTAGTACTGTAACCTGCTTGTCTCCCTCATGATAAATAGGTTTAATCTATACTGCGGAACATTCTAGACCAAGCAATAACATTTCCATGGAGACATTAGGTGGCAGACCCTCCTCTCGAAATGTTACACAGTGCACCTTTAACCTAACTGCATTTAGAGATGTTGCTAAAATTCTCACAGTTTTCCTCTTTCCTCTTTTGACAATTTTGTTGACATTTGTCATTTTACTTCCATGTTGGAGGTGATTTCATGATTAATTTACACTCAAAGGTGCATTGTGTAACTTTTCTGGTAGAGAGTCTGTCAAATGCTTTTTCCATGGACATTTCACAGTATTAAATATTTCAATCTTCATGGAGACCAAACAAGGCCAAGTTACAGGTCAAATCTGTGGAGAGGCGGCCCCGCAAACAGTCAGAATGTCTGTTTTTCTAGGTGCTTCTGAGCTGTAAAATCACCTGTAATATAAGAAATGTAAGTTAGAGCTGTGGAACATTCCAGGCAGAGCAATGACGTATCCATAGAAACAAGCAGGTGGCAGACCTCCAACCAAAAAGTTACAAAGTGTTGTTTTTTTTTTTTATTAAAAAAATAAAGATTAAAAATCTTTCCTGAATAAACATGTTCCTGGCAGGGAAACATTATAGGAACTATGCACTTCCTGTAATTAACCACAAAATATAACAATGCATGTAGTAAACAAAACCGTTTCATTATTCATGTGAACTGCCATGAAGTCATTTTACCACCTGTGGCTTTTTACAATATTTTTATTTACATTAAATCTAAAGGCAATGTACATTCTCTAGTTTAGTGTATTGTTCTTGGCTCCATTGAAAACTATCACAAAATGTTTACTTTTCTGGTGGAGGATCTGCTACACACTTGTCTCTAAGAAGAGCTTATTGCTTTGCCTTACAATGTTCCACAGTATGGCATTAAATGTTTCAATTAATGTTTTCATTGCTCAAAAATACAGGGTCACGCAGGGTCACCAGATCAGGGGCCTCATTAATGAAGCCCAAAACAAGACACAAAACAAGCTCTGACAAGAGAGTGTAAGCTCCTCATGTCAAACATGGCATTTAAAAACACACTCACATATGTATATATATATATATATATATATATATATATATATATATATATATATATATATATATATATATATATATATATATATATATATATATATATATATATATATATCATGTTCATGTGAAACATTGCGCTCCTCCAGGTGAACTGTAGAGCTGCTGTACACTGTGATTAAACTCATTATCAGCTCATTTTTAGGTAAATCTCATTCAGAACTCTGCATTGTCCTTTTATGGTGAAATGGAGGCGTTAAAGGGGCGTGGCGTGAGGTGGTGTGAGGTGGACTCACGTGCGCAGGTTTGTGCTGCAGGTGTGATCTATGAAGAGGAAAGTGCGTGAGTGCTGTGGAGGGTCTTATAAATCCTAATATTTTTTCACGTACGTGAAATTTGTGTTTTGTCCATGCAAACTTTTTCAAGTATATTTTGAGACACTCTTTTAGAAATGAATGAATTTTATAAATAAGACCTGTAACTTTGCAATATTAAAGGCTTGTGAGATACATAAGTATGACCCCATACTGTAAAACACAACATTCAAATCAATAACCTCACCCTGCAGGAGAAAAGTTACATGGGGACATTCCATGAAGCGAGCTACAGTGAAAGCCTGGTTTATTTGGGCAATCCAGTCTCAGTGTCGTTCCACCAAAGTGACCAGAAGTGACTCTGAGTTTCTGCAGTAAAAAGCACTCAGGTACAGACCTGGTCAGGACCAGGTGAACTGTCAAGATTATTTTAGCTCTGTCTCCAAGAACATGTAAAGGAACAGTTTTGTGAAAGTTTGAGCATGTGCACTTACACATCTGTGGTAGAACAACTGTGACTTTTATAGTCACGTGTGGCTTCAGATGCTGCACTTATCAAAAAGGTAAACTGAAAACACCTCTGCGTGGGTTTGATCATTTCTTGTTCAGCTACACTTAAAGAGTTCAGCGTTACTTTTACGCACAGCAGAACACATATTACCACAAATCAGGAGAGGATCAGGCAAATTCTTTCCCTGGCCGCCTGCATTAACCAGGCTCCACACTCCGCAGCCCGCCTCCTCTCTGCTTCTTCTCCCTCCTCACATCAGAATGAACGGAGAAGATCTGTGTCCCAAATCAAACTCTTGTCTGTACATGGTGTGGCTTCTCTCTCATTTTAGTCAGATCATAAAAAACTCCACACTTTTCATCCATTTCCCGTAATGTCGTTGCTCCACTGATCTGACCTTCACAGAGTCACTGCGTGCCCAAACCTCAGGCCTGAGTTAGCTTTGGTCAGACTCAGGCTTGTTTCTGTCATGGAACGTGTTGAGCCTTAATCTGGAGATGGAGCTGGTTTTATATCAGGATTTCAGAATAAGCTTGGACTTGTTAAACAATGTTCATGGAATACCTCCAAAGAGCATCTTTAAAATGGATTTCATAAGCCTTGGACTGTGTCAAATCCTCAATGTCTGTCTTGTCCCCAGGTTTGAAGTCTGCCTCACAGAGCAGGTCAAAGGTCACAGCGGAGAGGGTGGCTCTAGTGGTGCTCAGTGTGCTGCTTTTGGCTGCTGTTGGTGCTCTCATTGGAGTCTGTGTTACATACTGCACAGGTAAGAAAACCACATGTGTCTCAGGTAATATTTCTATGTAAAACTATTAATGCAACCCTCACATCCCTCTGAGCTGTGGACTCTGGACAGAAAGATCACCAGATATAAAAAAGATAAACAACGACTAATATTTGAAACCAAAATAAACTAGAAACATATGGAGACTCTTGATGAAACCAGAATCCAGTAGTACTTTGGTAGCATTCACCTTGTCTTCAATTAATGATACATGAAACAAAACATAACTCAGAAGTCACAATTCAGAATGATCTCTGTATTTTTTTTATACTTGGTGCCTCAAGCCAAGGCCATTAAATCTGTTTCTCTCACCTCAAATTAACAGTCTAAGTCCTTCTCACATTGAGTCTGCAGAAATCCACAGTGTTTTTCAGTTTCCTGTGATATTTTTTTCTTTTATTTTTCTCTTGTGAGCAGCTATATTTGTTTTGATATCAACAAATTATGCGTGTCCCTAATTGGTTTATTCACCTGTCAATCACGCTTATCTACAAAGTCCTCTAAAGTCCCGTTCTGGGAATAAATTTCCCTTAAGTTTTCCTATAGACTTTTGGAAAAATTCAGACTTTAAGAGCTCAAAGGCATCATGGAGGCTACACTGGAAAAAAAACAAGAACTAGGTAAATTAAAATGACTTAAATTAAGAGCATTTTAACTTTATTTGAGTACATTTAAATCAACAGGTAAAATGATCTACTAGTGAGTTTTTCTTAATTCAAGCAACATTCAATTTTTTTTCTTATTTTAAGTGCAGAAAGTTGCTTTTCTATTTTTTAAGTGTAGCAAGTTGCATTTTCATATTTTCACTTCAAAAAATCTTGTTCCACAGATAATTTTACTTGTCAAGTGAAATTTACTCAAATCATAATAAAAGTTTCTTAATCCAAGTCATCTTAACTTGGCTAGATTTTGTTTTTTGCTAAATGAATGAGAAACATATAGAGACTCTTGATGAAACCAGAATCCAGTACTGTATTTTTCAGACTATAAGTTGCACTTTTTTTCATGGTTTGGGTGTTTCCTGCGACTTATACAACTGCGAGAGGCTCGAGGCTTGTGTATCAGTTTTCTGCACATGTCTCCTGCAGAAAAAGCCACTGTTCTGCTGCAAGTAGTGAAATATGCAGCAGAAAATGTTAATCAAGCAGCAGAAAGAAAGTTTGGAGTGAGGGAGAAACTTGTGAGGGACTGGCAGAAAGCGGGACGGAGAACACAGCTTCATGAGAAATGGGCGCGTACGCCATGAAACTTTCCTGGAAGTCACTGGATGGACTGACAAAGCCTGGACTTTAGTGGCAACTGAAGTTGTGTGGAGTTGCTTAGAAGTGACACTGAGGATGAAGAATTCAATGGATTCAATGGATTTAGTGATTTGGAGTGAGAGCGAGAGTTTGGTAAAGTTTTGTTGTTTATGCTATAGTTATCTAAATAACTGTTAATATGTTACGTTAACATATTAATGCCTATTCAGCCTGTTGTTCTCTTTTCTGTTGTTTTTACTATAACTTGCCGTTCAAGATGAAATGTCGGTTTCTGATCCCTGATTTTATAAAATACTTTTCCCCAAAAAGTCTGATGCGACTTATAGTCCAAAAAATATGGTACTTTGGTAGCATTTACCTTGTCTTCAATTAACAATATATGAAACAAAACACAACTCCTATTGCTTTTGGGAGGTGGGGGGCAGACAACTCGTAGTGAGACTGGCGCTACCTCAGTTTCATTTCTCTCCAGCGACTAGGTCAGGAATCAAAATACAATAGACGGTTTACAAGAACCCCGGAAATGCAAGTTCGGTCACCAGCAAATCAGCGAAGAGTGATATATTCAGTGTTGTCAACGATTCCCGAGACAGAGGATTTAAAACTGGAATAAAGAGAATGTTTGGTGAATTTCATCAAAGAGAAAGATGTTATTGCCCTTCTTCCTATGGGATTTGGGAAAAGCTTAATATACCGGCGCATTACGTACGTCATGACCAAATAGCAGCGATTGGTTAAATGATAAAAAGTACCCGCCTACCGTGGAGTGAATGAAGTCTTACACTGCGAGGTCAGATAGTTTCTACAAAGTGAAGGAAGTGAAACCGGCTGATGAATCAGGCTAGACAACTCTCAACTAGCAGCCAAAACATGTGAAGATAAATACATCTCACTAACAAAGTTGTCTGAGAATTTCAAGATCTTTCAACAGTGAAACTATCGCCTCCCACAGGCTCCTGTTGTCCAAACCGCACGGCCTCATGTGACGACGGCTGGGAGTTCAATGGTACAAAGTGCTATTATTTTTTTCCAAGTTCAGTCATGCTGCGCTGGAATGAAAGTCGTGAGATGTGTCAGCAGCAAAATGGAGCATCCCTGGTGAAGATAGAGACCAGAGAGGAGCAGGTATTGTACTTTACACTTAAACGTGGACTACAAGGTGAAAAAAGCTAAATTCTGTTCTTATTTTAGGTCTTTCTGACTGCTAAACTCCAAACGCTGATGCATTATGATTACGAGAAGTTTTGGATTGGGTTGACAGACTCACAATCTGAAGGGCAGTGGAGGTGGACGGATGGATCTGCTCTGAACCCAAGGCAAGATTATGGAGAGAATAACTCCAAAGAAATATTTCCGTATGTAGTTGTGGGTCAGATCCTATGATATTGTTATTTTCGGCTTTTTTTCTTCAGTTCAGTTCATCTTTATCCCATTTTTTTAAATCCATTCCAGTCCATTACTTCTTTTAACGTTTATTAAAATCCAATTAATTCAAATAAAGACTACTCAGTTATTCTTATATGTAGAATATTTCACTTTGTGGTGTTATTTTAGTATTTATTATTCGTCAAAATTAGGATTAGTGTTAACACCGAGATACGAACATCGCAATTCGTGTATCATTTGTTCATTCAATTTTCAAAATAAAATGAAAAATAAGAAAATGAAAAAATCAACTGTTTTCTTCATTATTTGTCTCCAAAACCAAAATGAAAAAAAGGCTAATGATTCATTTTTTTCAGTCTCTTTTTCAATCTTTTCTCAGTCCTGGTCTGGTCCCAGTCTCAATCACGGTCTGGTCCTGCTTTCAGTCCCAGTCTGGTTCCGGTCTCAGTCTCGGGTTCAATCACGGTCTGGTCCTGGTCTGGTCCTGGTCTCAGTCCCAGTCTCAGTCCCATTCTGGTTCCGGTCTGGTCTCAGACCTATTTTAGTCCTGGTTTAGTCCTGGTTCAGTCCAGCATCGCAGTTTAAGTCACGGAAACAGGAAACGGCCGTTATTCGTTTTTTCCATTTTTCATTTAAACTCAAAATGAAAACTAAAAAAAAATAAAAATAAAAATCATTATCTGTTTTTTTTATTTTGGTTTTGGAGACAAATGAAGAAAATAGTTGTTTTTTCATTTTCTTATTTTTGGTTTTATTTTGAAAAACGAATGAACGAATGATACACGGATTCATCTCTCTATTTCATCTCATCTCAGTATTTATTAATTTGGAGAGGAAGTAACGATTCTAACTGTGAGTTTTCCAAACACTGTAGTGCACCGAGCATATTCACAAATAACACGTGCATGTGTATTTGGTTCTTCTGATCCTAAGTCTAGCGTTTTGGGCCAATGATGCGAGGAACAAGGAGCCGGACAACTGGACAGGGCAGAACCCGAACGGAGAGGACTGTGTGAGGATGGGACGGCTTGTGAATCTGACGGAGCTGACCTGGTACGACCACTCCTGCAATTTGACCCAACGCATCATGTGTGAAAAAGGAGCAAGCATTTGTTAAACACGGCAAAACACTTAAAGAAGACTGGTTTTCATTTATGGTTTGTGGCGGTTTGTGGTGGTTGTTAATAATAAAATTGTGAAACATAATAGATGCATCAAGAATTTTGGACTTCCGGTCATCGCGCAATGCATACTGGGAAGGATTTTCCGAAAAAGTGAGCATCAAACCGCCATGTTTGTTTTCCCAGTGGGTGCGTCTATTGACAAAGTCGATCTTTTCAAGTCTTTTGAACCATATCGCTTTTGTTTCTGGTTCTGATATTGTCATATTTTAGTTTTGAGATTCGGACATTGTAATTGTGTGATTGTTGGATGTCCTAACAGCGGAAAACTCCATAGTCTCAAACTCCATAAATGCAAAAGGGAATCAGATGTGTGTGACGGCAAACCTCTGTTCAAACTGCGACTGATATGTTTTTTTTCTTCTTCATTATATTGTGTAGATATGTACATGTAGATACAGTTACACAATTATGTCTTATTTGACACCAGTTCTTGCTATTTTTTTTTTGCTTTTTTCTTATTTTGAATTTCTTATTACCAATTATATTTTTTCTCTTTGTTATTATATTATATTGTGATGTGTGAGCTACTGTGTCCAAATGATTTTTCCTTGTGGATCAATAAAGTTTGTCTAAATCTATTAGAATTGTACTAATGTTTATTCCACTGTGGTAAGGGTCTGAAACCTCACTCTATCCTGTATATCTTATTTTGTAGTAACACTCAGTCACCACACGACGGAGGTAGAGATTTACACCATTGACCTACATAATACTCCCTTATACTGTAATACTTCCATAATTTATACGAGTTAAATACAGCACTGAAAAACTGATCATGGCAAGTGTTTGAGAAAAGTGGAGCTGGCGGATTGTTTCTGAATTGTTACTATATTTTGGCTATAATTTATTTAGAGTTTTTACTACAAAAGAGTTATATGTATTGTATATATATATATATATATATATATATATATATATATATATATATATATATATTATATATTATATATATATATATATATTTATGTATTTATTTATTTATTTATTTATAAAACTTTATTTATTTATATAACTTTTTGGTTGGGGTCTGTCACCTGCTTGTTTTTTTATGGATTTGTTGTTTCTCTGCCTGGACATTAAGTAGTTAGTTTGTGTCTATAATTAATCATAAAGTTCCTAATTCAAACATCTACAGCTCAAATCTCATCATAGTACAGGAAAAAAAAAAATCATTAAGAAAAAGTATCCATGATGAATACTGACAACCAAAAATGATTATTCCATCTGCCATGTATTGAATGATATATATTGATTGATATAGTATTTATTGTGACAGGACAACACAGACACATAAATTAGGTCATAATTACTGAAATAAACAGCTTATTAAACAGCTCTGCATTACATTTATTCAATTGCAGGTTTATAGCTCAAAAAATGCTTACTAAAAACCAACATTCTGACTGCGATCTGACCCGTAACTTTGTCTGATTTGGTCTCCGTGAAGACAGCAAGATTTAATGCCATACTGTGAAACATTACAAAGCAATAGCATCTTCACGGAGACAATTTAAATTTAAAGGACCCTTACAGAGTGCACCTTTATAAATACGTCCAAGTTAGGAGTGGATAAATAGCTGTCCCCACGCTGTAGCTGCCAATTCACACTCTGATCTCATTGCTTCTAATTCCGTGGTTCTTTTCCAGTCTGCTCCACGCTGCTGCCGGGACACGGGCGCACGGAGGAGGGGGGTTGGTGGTGCGTCCCGACCGGTGGCAGACGGGCTGTGCTCGTTAAACGCCTTTTCTTAGGTCGGCAATATGGTGTGTCCCACTAAACTCTCCTGATGGACTTTAATGTAATTATCGGATTAGCACTTGCTGCGCCTCAAGCTCAAAATGTTTACTACTCGGAGCACGGGCGGGTCTTCGGCGCTTCGGGTCGTGTGGTGGTGATTTACCGGGGTCTTTTGGAGCATAAACCGCCGCGTTTGACAGCGTTAATAAAACTGTCAATGAAGGAGAGGTGTGCGTAAACGAGCCGGGAACTTTACGCACGGCCAGGACGCACGGGTATAGCTGCAAATCGGACGAGATGCCAACAGGAAATTTGATACGATTTGTTTAAGGTACGTTTAAAATGCATAAATTTATAGTTTATAGATACTTTATAGATGTTGTTTTAAGGTAGTCTTACAAAAATGGAAAAAGAGTAATGAAATAGGTCAACAAGTATCCCAGTTAATGCCGTTTATAATTATTATGCTATTGCTTTTTGTATTGCTGCTACTGCGAAACTACAAATAATCTTATCATGTTCCTCATTGGGATTATGTAGCCCACTGTACAGCCTAACCGATTAAGATATTTGTTTTCATTTGGGTTATAAATATTAAGACGCTTATAAATAAAATATAATTAAAAATCATTCATATTTTTTTGCTGTTATAACGAATCTCCATGTTTGGCTGCATGGGTTTGTTAATATTACACAATTAAGTTTAGATGTGTTTTATTTTAGTCAAACAGTGGTGCTGTTTCTCTGTGTTATTGTTTAATTTTAAACCTACTGTCCGCTACTTTAAAGGGTCCATTTTATAGTTTGTTTTCTGATCCATGTTATAGCCTAATGTTGTTTCCTCATCACAAACAAATCTGGAGTCGTGTTTTGTTTCATTCACGCATTTAACACACAAAGTGTGCGTATTTAGGAGTTTTTCTCTCATACGGAAAACACTATTCCACTGTTCCACCTTGTGATGTCATGTGGTAATACAGGAAGTGCTCCACTGTGTTATTAAACTCCGTACACCTTCACTAGAATAATTTAAAAGATTTCAGTCCTGAAATTGCTGATCTCTACTGAATTAAAAGTAAAAGGTGTTAACTTGAAAACAACTGCTTCATGACATCACAAGGTGGAACGTAGAATTTTGACCTTTGAGATGTAGACAGACTAAAAATGCAGATTTACACAAACATGTGTGAATGAAACAAAACTCCAGGTCTGTTTTTGATGAGGTAACAACACTGTAAAATGGCTTAAAACTCACAAGAGTAAGATTTGTGTAATATAGGACCTTTAATTGAAAGTATAACACTGAACAATCCACATTTTGACTGAAAATAAAAGGGTTCTGCTTGCACATCTGTTCATTAAGGCATCTAAATTATCCAGGTTATTTACCGTGACCACAGTAGAAGATACCATTTTATAAAACCAATATTATGATCCATAACGTTCAGCTCCAATCCAAAAGACTATTGGTTATAGGAGCAAGTTTGGACAAAATAGTGAAATAAAAACACCAGGATCATGTAGAGCAGGTTAATAAGAACATTTTATGATCAAAACTGCAGCAGTTACACAGAGAGGGGCCACAATTTTTCAATATAAAGTCAGTTGGTGCCAGAGTCGATGGAGCCGGAAGTGCCTCCATGTTCACTTCCTATTTGGAATGACTTGTGGGTTAGTGGGTCCATTTATATATATAATCTATGGGTGCCTCCCATCTGTATTACATAATATTGGCCTGTAGCAGAGGTGTCAAACTCAATTTCACAGAGGTCAAAATTAAAAACTGGGACTAAGTCGTGGGCCAAACTAAATATTTATTGAAAAATTTCAGCAACATCTGCATGTTTTCTCTTCTTTTAAGATATGTATGTTAAACCGTTTCTTATTAAAATAAATGTTTAATAATAGTTTTGCTTAAACATTGTTTCCAGAACAAGTATAATATCAAATATAACAAAAATTTTAATAAATAGTGTCTCTATAGTCTATCTGTAGCCAGCATGCCAGCTGCAGTACATATTTGATATGATCCAAATATAATTATATCGCAGGCCAAATTTGGTCCCCGGGCCTGAGTTTGACATGCCTGGCCTACAGAATGTTGCGATGTCATCTGAAACCCACAATTAAAGAGAACAAATAAACTATACTTCAAAAACTAAAATGGAGCCAAGTTAAGATGACTCGAATTATGAAAGTTTTAACATGATTTGAGTAAATTTCACCTAAAATGATCTACCAATGTAATACATCTTGCTTTAGTTATTTTTCTTCGATCAATTAACATAATCATAAATCATATTACAATGATTTAACACATAAACAATAACAATAATTGTACTTGTCATGTTGAATCTACTCAAATAATGTCAAATGTTCTTAATTTAAGTCATTTTAACTTACCTAGATATTGCTTTTCGTAGTGTAACTGTGGTTTGTGTATCTTGGCAGGTTCTTCTCGTCCAGGCCTGTTTTTCTGCGGTGATGTCGGTGTCTTCTTTGCCCGAATGGAAGCAGCTGCTGTTGGAGAGGAAGCGACGGGAGGAGGAGGCCCGGGAGCAGAGGGAGAAACAGGAGGAGCAGAAACTGGCCAGCATGCCCGCCTGGAAAAGGGGGATTATCCAACGCCGAAAAGCAAAACAGGACGGCCCGGGAGAGGCGTTCCCCAGCGAGACTAGGTCACTCTCAGACGGACTGAGCGACACAGACAGTTCAATCACGGTGAATTTGGGAAGCGATATATCTACAAATCCCGATGTAGGAGCGTGGCTGGACGGAGATCCCAAAAATGGAAGTCAAGTCTCCGTAGAAACCATCGTCCCCGTGAACGAGAATCCATTCATGAAGATACAGAAAAGAAAAGGGAGAGAGGTGGAGTTGTGTAGTCCGAAAAGTTCCGATGGAGAGGCCGGTCGAGGTAGTCATTTTGAGATAAAAATTGAGAAGTTTAAAGATTTGAGTGAAGGCAGGGAGAAGGACCAAAGCAGTAAGCAGATAGAACCTAGTTGGAGCAGGAGTGTCCCGAAAGAGCGAGATCGCAATCAAAAAAGACAGGATAAGGAAATTCTAAAAGTAAAAAAAGAGGATGAATACAAGGACACAGATTTGGGGAGTCCAGTGTTTTCACCGACTGTCCCTTGTCTAAGAACAATAAGGGCGGATAATATCATAATCATCGAACACGAAAGAAATAGCAATGAAGAGCGGAGAAGTAGATGGAAAGATTTGGAGAGGGGTGAAGAGGACATACAAACCAAAAGAGGAATTAAAATGGATTTGAAAGAGTTATTAGCCGGAGGTGGGAGCGTGACTGAAATCAGAGCGTCGGAAGTTTTGATCATTAAGCCGCCAGAAGTGAAAAATAAAGAGGAGATTGAGAAAAATGATGGAAAAAGGGAGTTAAGAGAGAGCAGAGAACTCAGAGCGGACATGTCGTGGCTTAAAGAGAAAGCGAAGGAGTCCGTGAAGGAGAAAGAGCGTCCGTGGGGACAAGCGACGGTAATCAAAGAGGACAAAAAGGATAACTCAGACGATTGCGTTTTCGTGGAAAGAGGTGGGAGGGTGAGCCAGCTGCTTTGTAAGTTCGGAGAGCAACGCAAGCCTCCGTGTCGATCCAAAAGCTCTGAAAATTTAAATCCGCCTCCGTATTTACAAGTTGAGGACGAAGACGAAAGAGAGGACAGGAGAAGCGGACAGCTAAAAGGCGTCCCTAAAAGATCCTTCAGCTTTTCGGATCGAGTTTTTAGCGCCAAGGAAAACGGTTTTGAGAACGAGGTGAGGATACGAGACGGCGCGCACTGGACAGAAGTGGCGAGTTTGGGAAGAGACAACGCGACGAAAATCAAAATGGGTTGTGCGCGTTTGTTGGAAAAAGATAGACTTGGAAGACATCGACACTGGCAGTCAAAAGAGAAACCAAACAGAAATATTGCAGATGGAGAGGAGTGTTTCACAATCGCAAGTGTTAAAAACGTAGAAGGAATTTCGTTTGCCAAAAGAGTCCCGATTCGGCAGGAAGGCAGAGCAAGGGAGAAGAATTATGGCGTTGAGAAAGGAGCGAAAGTTGAGGGCCAAAATTTTGAAAGTAAAATCCAAGCTTATAGGTATGAATCTGCGCTTCGAGAGTCTTCGAGTTTGCTTTGCACCGTCCAGGATCATTCAAACAGACAGGGACTGGCTTCAAGTGGGTTAGGAACGACTTTACTCGCACAGAATGAAGAAAAGATTGTGGATAGTAAAGTTTTAGGAGTGAAGGCATCGAAGATTGCGTTTGAACTGACTAAAAACTCAGAGGTGACCATTCCGAGCAGCGGATCGGGGACTGTAGATGCAAAAACTTTGGGGGCCCAACCTGCACCTTTGGAAATTCAAATACCAAGGACTGTGTTTTATGTAGCTGAAGATATGGTTGAAAAGAAAAAGAAAAACAGTGTGCAAGATTACGATATTGGAAGAGAGGTGGAAAGAGAAGACAGTTCAAAAGTAGTTAAGGTAGATGAGTCTTTGACTGAGAAAACTGAACAACAACAAACTGAAAACACAGAAAACAAAGCCAAAGATTTAGATAATTTTGAAGTTCAGTGTGAAACAGTAGCCTCAACAACAACGGCAGAAGCTGAAATAGAACAGGAAGTAGAGAGTCAAAGCGTTGAGGTGGAGAAAGAGGTAGCGTCGACAGCCAGCGAGCATGTTAATGACGTTGTGCAGGAAGTCAGCGTCAGCCCCCAACTTCCTGATTCAAATTCTGAGGTTGAGGAAGGAGAGGAAGTAGACTGCGGTGGAGGAATTAGCACAGAAAGCAGAGAACCAGAATCGGACTCGGAGGACGAATATGTTCAAAATGATCGAATAACCGAAACGGACATTTTGGAAGACGATAGGCAGTTTTCCGAAGAAGATTTGAAGGAACTGACCGTGAACTTTGAATCAGAGGAGTCTATTTCACCTCCGTCGCCCGAGACAAACTTATTGGAAGATATGAGTCGGATTTACAATTTAGAGACGGTCGGTTCGAGATCTGGACTATGCTTACGGGACAGAGCTGCGGAGATGCCCTCTGTGCATCTCATCAAAATCAAGCCGCTAAGCTCACCACAACAAGGCGAAGGAATTAAAAGTATACAACGCCAAATTGAAAACTTCAAGCTAAAAGAACAGGAAGTACTCAAGTCTCAAATTTGTACATCGCAAAAAGCCAAAATTCAACATAGTCCAAAAGGAAATGTATTAAAAGAGGAAGTCTCAACTCAAAAACAAGATGAAAAATTAAATCCGCAAGTGTCTCAAAGAAGGGTTAAGTCTCCAGATGACCAAAGTATAGAAATCAACGCTTCGGTTTTGCGTTCTCAGTCGCCTGAAAGTGCGTTGAAAATTTTAGATTTGGCTCCTACACCGGTGTCTTCTCCAAGCTCCCTCTCGCCAGCTCAGTCTCCAGCCAGTTCGCCAGCGCCGAGCCCAACGCCGGCTTTATTTAAAATCAGAAGTGCCTCTGGAGGTCAGGTGAAAAGAGGCACGACTATAACCATCACGCCAAAGAAGACTCAGGTTCAAGGGTCATCGCCGACGGCAACGCGGACAGCGAGCCCGACTTCGAACGCCGCTGCAACGACGGCTGCGAACGAAGCGGCGAAAAAGAAATTCCCGACGGTGGAGGAGATAGAAGTGATAGGAGGATATCTGAATCTGGACAAGTCGTGTCTGGTGAAGAACAAAGGGACGTCGAAAAAGGTTGGTTTTATTTTAAAGGGCCCATATTACGCTGTTGTTTATTCTGTTATAATGTTGTTTCCTCATAAACACACCTGGAGTTGTGTTGTTTTTTTTTTTCTTTCACACATATTTAACTCAAAAATGCTGCATATTTAGACTGAGTTCTTCTCACAAGCAGAAAACACTCTGTTCCACCTTGTGATGTCATGTGGTAATACAAGAAGAGCTTCAGTGTGTTTTCTATACACTTTAATTCACGTTATTTGGATTATTTCAGCCCTGGTAAAAAATACACTGCAAAAAAACAATATCTAGCTAAATTAAAATGACTTAAATTAAGAACATTTGACTTTATTTGAGTCCATTCAACTTGACAAAATTATCTACCAATGGAATAAGTGTGTTTTTCTTAATAAAAGTAACATTAAATTGAGTTTATTTTGCGTTATTTTAAGTGCAAATAATTGTTGTTTTTCTTATTTCAAATGCAGCAAGATGTATTTTCATGTTTTAAATGCAAAAAGTATTATTCCATTGGCAGATAAATTTGCTTGTCAACTGAAATTTACTCAAATCGTAATAAAACTTTCTTAACTTGGCTGGATTTTAGTTTTTGCATTGAAATCTACTGCTTCATGATGTCACAAGGTGGAACAGGGCATTTTGAGATTTGGAGATGTAGACAGACTAATAATAAAGGATTATATAAACGTGTGAATCAAACAAAACACAACTCCAGGGACGTTTTTAATGAGGTAACAACATTATAACATGACTTAAAGCTTACAAGAGGACATTTTGTGCAGTATAGGACATTTAAAGCTGCATTATGTAACTTTTCTGCCACCTGATTGTCTCCATTCAGATGTTACTACTTCATCTGGAATGTTCCACAATCTGACATTAAACATATTTATCTCAAACAGACTCCCTCCCAGCTAGAATGTTATATATTTTATTTTTATTTTTTATTTTAGCAATATATTATATAATATTATAAGCACCTATAATTGAAGAAATGATTGAAAAGATACTAGTAGATAAGTTTAATGCCATACTGTGAAACATTCCAAGCAAACAGAGCAATTAAATGGTGGATGCCCCAAAAAACACATTCAAGTTCCTCTTTTTATTCAAGGCAAAAACAATGTACATTTAAAAAGTAGGAAATGTAAAGCAGTGTTATTTATTATTCACTATTCATCACCATTCTACTACTACTACTGCTTTTTTTTACAACCTACCCCAGAGTAACTGAGTACTACTACTACTACTACTACTACTACTACTACTACTACTACTACTATTACTACTACTGCTGCTGCTACTACTACTACTAATTGTACTTCTACTGTTACAACTACTGCTGTTACTACTACTACTACTACTACTAAATTTGCAAAGCATGCATAATTGAGTAACAATATATATATACTTATTTTGTGCTATTAGTCAACAAAAAATACTACTACTACTACTACTACATGTACTTGTACTAGTGCTGCTACTACTACTTGTACTACTACTACTGTTACTACTACTACTGCTACTACTATTTGTAGTACTACTACTGTTACTACTACTGCTGTTACTACTACTTCTACTACTATTACTACTACTACTGCTGCTGCTGCTGTTACTACTACTTCTACTACTACTGCTGTTACTACTTCTTCTACCACTACTACCACCACTACTACTACTATTGCTGTTACTACTATTACTGTTACTACTACTGCTGTTACTACTACTACTTCCACTACTACTCGTGTTACTACTACTACTGCTACTTTTATTAGACTCTAGTAACGGAGTACTACTACTACTACTGCTGCTGTTACTACCACTACCACTACCATTACCCCTACTACCACTACTAATACTACTACCACTGCTACCACTACTACAACTACTTTTATTAGATTCTACCCCAGAGTAACTGAGTACTGCTACTGCTACTACTACTACTGCTACTGCTACTACTGCTACTGCTACTACTACTACTACTACTACTACTACTTTTTTAGATCCTACCCCACAGTAACTGAGTACCACTTCTTCTGCTACTACTACTACTATTACTGCTGCCTGCTGCTGCTACTACTGCTACTTTTAACTACTCCTGCTGGTCTTAAGTTTTGTCTGACCTTCAAAGTATAAAGACATTTGAGTGACAAATACAAAATATACTTATTATTTTCTGCCGTTAGTCAAAGTAAATAAATAAATAACAGTGATAGTGCCAGTTACAGTTGGTCCCATGATCTTAATTTCCTTATTGGGTCAGTACCACAGGGTGAGGGAGGAGGTGCCAGGCTCAAGAGCAGACTGCACTAAGCCGGTTAAAGCCTTATCAAGCACGACATCTTGATTCTCCAGCATCAAATCCAACAGTGATCTGCTCCACTTAGCCCCATTAAACAAACAGCTAATAATGATGAGGGGAGTTTAGTTTTGTCTTTATTTAACAGAAAGTGACACGAAACCACAGAGACCACATTGAGTAAAGCGTCTGTCTGCAGATACTTCCGGCCAGCCCTTTTAAAAGTGGAACTAGCACTAAACTTTTGCCTTTTTTGCTGCTGAACGACTGTGTGTATTGCTGGGTTTCAAATTGCACAACAGCGGTTTTTAGTTCAATAATATTTAATACAGACAGGGGCAGCTGAAATGAATATTGCTGGGATGTTGATTTTTGTTGTAATACAGTGAGTTCTGGGACTTGTCAGTAATTATTGTATTTTTTGGACTATAAGTCGCTCTGGAGTATAAATCACACCAGCCAAAAAATGCGTAATGAAGAGGAAAACTTTTTGGGGGAAATTTACTTTATAAAATCAGAGACCAGGAACCGACAACAACAAACTGTTAACGTCACATATGAACAGTTCTTCAGATAACTATAGCACAAAAAACAGAACAGAACAAGTTTACCAAACTCTCCATCTCATTCCAAATCACTAAATCTCAATTCTTGGTTCCTCGGTGTCACTTCTGAGCAACTCCTCCAGAGGTAAACAGAGCGCCGCTTCCTCTTCTGTGTTGCTGTCGTCAGACTCAGCATCAGTTCCAGTTAGAATTATTCCGGCCTTTGTGAATCCCGACAGGATGGTTTTGGTTGTCAATGAGGTCCTGGCTTTGTCGATTCATTCAGTGACTTCCAGGAAAGCTTCATTGTGCATCCTCTTGGTGTCACAAATTTCTCACTCACTCCAAACTTTCTTTCCGCTGCTCGATTACTGTTTCCAGCTGCATATTTCACTACTGCAGCTTGTAATCTGCAAAATATGATTTTCTTTTTACGGTTATTTGTGGTCAGTCTTCTCAGTCGTCTTTATAAGTTTGTTTACATTTAAAATTTTCAATGGTACAGAAATAATTGTGCAATCGGCAGAGGCTCTTTCTGCAGGAGACATGCGCAGTAGAGCCAAGTGACAGTGATACAGGAGTAATAAAAGTAGCAGATACTGACACACAAACCTAGAGCGCTCTCTGTCGGCAGTCAGTGTGAAAATTTTAATATATAAGTTGCACTGGAGAATAAGTCGCAGGAAACACACAAACCATGAGAAAAGTGCGACTTATGGTCCGAAAAATACAGTAATAGAAATGATCAGGTTCAGGTAATTTATTTAAATGTATATACAATTAAAAAAAAGTATTGTTTGCTGTTTTGTTTTGGTATTTTTAGTGCAAAACATGCTAGCTAGGTCACTGTGCCCCAAAGCTACCTGTTACTTTTATTAAAATAGTATAATATGAAATAAACCGCCTACAAAAATGTAAATAAATTTAAGTAAATGCTACCCAGTTATTTCTATATATAGAATACTTCAGTTTGTGGGGGTGTTAATATTTATTATGCCTCTCTCTTTCTAAATACGTGTCCATTGCTCAAGTATTCATATTATTTGTGTACTTTTTAACATGCTGTTAGTCACAGCCATCCACAACTTCCTTATCTTTAAATATTTATTCCTTTTAATATGACTCAGCAAAAGTCCCATAGATACACAATTGAGTGAGGAAGTAGTGATGCTAACAGTGTTGTTTCTGGATGCTATAGATCTTTTTCACAATATCAGGAAGTGCCGCGATGTAGGGTAAACGTAACTCCCGGTTAATGCTTTTCTATGGCAAAATGTCTGTGGAAATGTCTCCTGTGTTTTCAAGCAGCTTCATAAATCTGCCCCATCACCAAATCTTCCTCCAACAAAGTCCACAAAGGATAAACATTCTACCATGAAGAATTTATCCACAACTATCAAGGAAAGAAAGACGAAAACTTAAAGGTGAACAACGACAACGCATTAGTGAACTACTGAGCAAAACTAATGTTATGGTCAAGAATAAAACAGAAATAACTTGTTCACTCAGACTGATTCTAGAATTAATATTAAAAACCGATTTCATGATGTCGATATTGGCATAGACAAAGAGATTTGTGTAGTTCAAATATTACATGATGACATTCACAGATTACATGTCTCGCATTTAATCTGCACAAATCTCTCTGTCTATGCCAAGTCCAAGTCTATGCTATGTCCAAACTTTTTTCATCAAGGGCCACATATCTTAACACAGACGAAGCAGAGGGCCGATGGAGGGCTGTGGACTGCTGCTCAATACACTGAATAATTGAAATATGTGCATGTTTAACACGTTAGAATGAGCCTTTATTCATGCTAAAACCACACATTAAATATTAAATATTAGGTTTATCAAGGCAGATTTTCAAAAAACTTGCAGTAAAAAGTAAATTTTTAATTGATGCAAGGTCATTTGGGCCAAATCACCTGGAAGCCTGAGGGCCAAGAAAAATGTGTCTGAGGGCCGCTTTTGGCTCACGGGCCATAATTTGGACATGCCTGGTCTATGCTAATATCGACATCATGAAATCGATTTCTAATTTTAATTCTAGAATCAGTCTGAGTTAAAAAGTTACTTATGTTTTATTCATTATTTATTCAGTATGTTCCAATTGTTCGCCTTTAAGTTTTCGTCTTTCTTACCTTGAT